CTCTTTGATTGTAGGTGGACTATAAATCCCAGCAACTACAACTCTCAAATGTTAAGGTCTGTTTCCCCAAACTCCACCAGTGTTCACATTTGGGCATATTGAGTATTCATGCCAAGTTTGGTCCAGATCCATCATAGTTTGAATCCACAGTGCTCTCTGGATGTAGGTGAACTACAAAACTCAAGGTCAATGCCTACCAAACCCTTCCAGTATTTTCTGTTGGTCATGGGAGTTCTGTGTGCCAAGTTTGGTTCAATTCCATCCTTGGTGGAGTTCAGAATGCTCCTTGATTATTACATCTCAGCAACTATTTATTTATTTATTTATTTATATTATATATTACTATTTTCTCACCCCTTAGGGGGACTCAAAGCTGTTTATGCTCTTTGATTATAAGGTGAACTATAAATCCCAGCAACTACAACTCCCAAATGACAAAATCTATCCACCCATCCAAGGCCCGTAGCCAGGATTTCGATTCGGGGGGGGGGGGGGGCTGGGTTTGATTCAGGGGTGGGGCTGAGTCTGAATGAAAGAGGGTCTACCCTAGCAAACCTTTTGTATCGTTACCCCAATTCCCCCATGCATATGAGATATATTGAGCATTCTGATCAGATCATGATATGAATAAACATAACAGTTTAAATAATGTACCAGTAAGGCCTTTTCGCAGACCATCATGAGAATTTGGGGGGGGGCTGAAGCCCCCCCAGCCCCCCCCACAAAATCAATCCCCCAACAACCTCACCAGTATTCAAATTTGGGCATATTGGGTATTTGTGCCAAATTTGGTCCAGTGAATGAAAATATATCCTGCATATCAGATAATTTACATTACGGTTCATAACAGTAGCAAAATTACAGTTATGAAGTAGCAACAAAAATAATTTTATGGTTGGGGGTCACCGCAACACGAGGAACTGTATTAAGGGGTCGCAGCATTAGGAAGGTTGAGAAACACTGCTTTATAAGATATATGTATGTATGTATGTATATACATACATACACACACACACCTTTTTATCCATCAGATGTTATTTGCAAGATTTTTGGCTATCACTGTCCTTTTAATATGCTTATTAAGAGATTTCCAAGTTAGGTACTTTTAATGAGGTTGAGTGTATTTAACTCTGTATTGTGGCATATGTATGTAACTTAGTATATAACAAGGTCATATTGTTTCTATGATTTCACTGAGAAACCATTCAGCCTTCCATATAAAGAATGATAATCCTAGATATCATGATTACTTTTTGACATTGTTTTTGGTGAAACATTTTGAATGTAATGAATATAGAACAATGCAAATAAAACAGCCATGATTTCATGCAGTATCTAAACATTATTACATAGCCTTTCCCCATAAAATATTATGAAATTGAATTACATGTTCCTAATTAAGGGATTTTCTGTGAAGATGTAATTTAGATATGAAACAAGTACGCCCTCCATCAAATTAAAGATTGTAGTGCAGATAGCTTCAGCTTTCAATTCTGTGTCACTGCAGAAGAATGAAGTATCTTTATGACTTTCCTATTTCTTGGTATAATGTTGTAAAAATCAGTGGAACGATCAGCTTGAAGCTTGGTTGTGTACAAGGTGAGACCTTGACAAAGACTTCATACAAGAAATACAGGCTAAAGTAAAAGTTTTGTTTAACTGAAAGCTTTTGTTTAACTACAAGTTGTCTAACTGCAGCACTTCTTTTACTGCAACCCCCTTGGAAATGAAATAATTTTGAGCTAAATGTGATGAATTAAGGAAGATAATATTAAAATGAATTAGATCTGTGGTTTTATAAAGAACAGTGATGAATGTGGATAAAAGAAGAATACAGTTTGGTTACTTGTGCTTAGAAATCACTGGAATAGGCTAGTCATAACTTACTTTCATTTTGTTTATCTTGGTGGCAAAAGAGCTAATTGCAGCTAACTTCATTAGTACATTGTTTAAGAGCTTTATATGTTGAACTGAGTAATTAAAGTATATTCTTCTCTGATGACTCTCTAATGCATAAGTTCATTTTGTGGTACTGTAATTTTCATTGCATTTCTATTGTGTTGTTTTGTGGCAGGGAAAGAAGTGACTTTGGTTTTATTCACCAATTAATTTTGAATCTCTTATTCTTAGTTCTTGGCATTTTGCCTTCATCTAAAATTATTTAGTGAAGAAACTTACGAGCTTTCCACTACGCTAGAGTTGGTTTGGTATTGGGTGTTTTTTGTTTTTGTTGCTTGAATGGTTATGTTATAATCCCTCCTAATTTTAAGAATAGACTTCTATAGTGTGCTCTATCTGGGGCTGCCCTTGCTGAGTTGTCTGTCACCTGCTGAACTGTTTTCTAAACAATTCTGTCTTTTTTCCCCGTTTCCTGGCATGATCACAGCATAACTTTGCCCTTTCTCCATGTGAATTCATTTTCTTGGGATTGCTGTAATATCCCTTGCAGGTGTCCGACTTCGTTCTTCCTAAGGTGAACAGTAAAGGTAAAGGTTTCACCTGACTTTAGGTCTAGTCGTGTCTGACTCTGGGGGTTGGTGCTCATCTCCATTTCTAAGCTGAAGAGCTGGCATTGTCCTTAGACACCTCCTAAGTCATGTGGCCAGAGTGACTGCATGGTGCACCGTTACCTTCCTGCCAAGGCGGTACCTATTGATCTACTCACATTTGCACGTTTTCGAACTGTTAGGTTGGCAGAAGCTGGGGTTAACAGCGGGAGCTCACCCTGCTCCCCGGATTCAAACTGCTAACCTTTCAGTCCTCAAGTTCAGCAGTTTAGCGGTTTAACCCGCTGTGCCACCAGGGGACACTTAGGCGAATAGTAAATCAAATAAATAAAGTATGGTACATAATTAATTTTACCATGACATTGTTACGTCTCAGGTTAAGTTTCACCTTGCTCTCTGACAAACCAGCCAAACTTGAGAAGAAAGAAGTTTATTGAGGTTTCAAACAAATCCAAGTAAAAGCAGTAAAAAGTTCAATAGTACAAAGTAAAGGTCCAAAAGTTCTCTTGAATCAAAGCAGGAAACTTGAAGCACAGAAACAGGATAAAATCCAGGAAATAGCATGAGGTTACAAGAAGAAGCAGGCAATCCCCAAGGTCCCAGTCCTGGAGCCGAAGGCACAGCGATCCATTTTGCAAAGTTGAAACTGACACTGAATCAGCTCCCAAGCAGCTTACTTATAGGTAAAACATCAAAACATGAACATTAAACAGAACAGCTAACGAGCAGTTTTCCCACCAGCAGATGGCCTCAAGATTTGGCCGCAATCCGTAAACTTTTCCTCCTTAACACCTGCGGCTCACTGTGACCTTCACCGAGTGTGTTATCAGCCACATTCCGTTCCCTTGAGAACAAGGGTTTCTCTCCAGCTACAGACTGTGGCTGAGGCTGAGAAAACTGAGAAATCTGAAATCCCACACCTGCATCTGTATTCCCATTCCCATCATGCCCACTTGCACTCTCAGTCCCATCATGCTGTTGCTGAACCACACCAGATATGTTGTTGTTCATTCGTTCAGTCGTCTCCGACTCTTCGTGACCTCATGGACCAGCCCACGCCAGAGCTCCCTGTCGGCCGTTACCACCCCCAGCTCCCTCAAGGTCAGTCCAGTCACTTCAAGGATGCCATCCATCCATCTTGACCTTGGTCGGCCCCTCTTCCTTTTGCCTTCCACTTTCCCCAGCATAATTGTCTTCTCTAGGCTTTCCTGTCTCCTCACGATGTGGCCAAAGTACTTCAACTTTGTCTCTAGTATCTTTCCCTCCAGTGAGCGGTCGGGCTTTATTTCCTGGAGGATGGACTGGTTGGATCTTCTCGCAGTCCAAGGCACTCTCAGCACTTTCCTCCAACACCACAGCTCAAAAGCATCGATCTTCCTTCGCTCAGCCTTCCCTAAGGTCCAGCTCTCACATCGTAGGTGACTACAGGGAATACCATGGCTTTGACTAGGCGGATCTTTGTTGCCAGTCTGATGTCTCTACTCTTTACTATTTTATCGAGACTGGACATTGCTCTCCTCCCAAGAAGTAAGAGTCTTCTGATTTCCTGGCTACAGTCTGCATCTGCAGTAATCTTTGCCCTAGAAATACAAAGTCTGTCACGGCCTCCACGGTTTCTCCTTCTATTTTCCAGTTGTCCATCATTCTTGTTGCCATAATCTTGGTTTTTTTGACGTTTAGCTGCAACCCGGCTTTTGCGCTTTCTTCTTTCACCTTGATTAGAAGGCTCCTCAGCTCCTCCTCGCTTTCGGCCATCAAGTGGTGTCATCTGCATATCTAAGGTTGTTAATGTTTCTTCCAGCAATTTTTACCCCAGCCTTGCATTCATCAAGCACCGCACATCGCATGATGTGTTCTGCATGCAAATTGAAGAGATTGGGTGAGAGGATGCAATCTTGAACCAGTCTGTTGTTCCGTGGTCAGTTCTGACTGTTGCTACTTGGTCCTTGTACAGATTCCTCAGGAGAGAGACAAGGTGGCTTGGGATGCCCATCCCACTAAGAACTTGCCACAATTTATTATGATCCACACAGTCAAAGGCTTTAGAATAGTCAATGAAGCAGAAGTATATGTTTTTCTGAAACTCCCTGCCTTTCTCCATTATCCAGCGGATATTGGCAATCTGGTCTCTCGTCAGTCCTCAAGTTCAGCAGTTTAGCGGTTTAACCCGCTGTGCCACCAGGGGACACTTAGGCGAATAGTAAATCAAATAAATAAAGTATGGTACATAATTAATTTTACCATGATATAGTGCTACATTAATGGAACTGTTGGGTGATAATATAATACATTTGAATAATTCTGTAAGTTCTTTAAGAGGCGTTTGCTATTTAGTCTGCTTGTGAAATGCTCTTGAGTGAGGATGTTGACACAAACACCACCAATGGGTTTTATTCTCCAACTCTGTGTATGTTTAGGGAATATGGTTATTTTTTTATTCATAAAATTAGATAATAATCTTTGTGCTTTTTATTTCTATTTTTTCATTAACAGGTACTTCATGCTGGATTTTGAAACTGGAATTTTACAGTATTTTGTGAATGAACAAAGTAAAAACCAGAAGCCACGAGGGGTGCTGTCCTTAGCTGGGGCTATAGTTTCCCTCAGTGATGAAGCCCCGAACATGTTGGTGGTATACTCGGCTAATGGAGAAATGTATAAACTGAGAGGTATGATATTTTCTTTAAAAACCCAAACCCAGTGTTTGTTTGTTTTTTGACATTGTTTCATTTTCCACTTTTACATGTACTGAATTATGGCAAATGCTCTAATTAGTTTATGCGGGGTAAAACTGTATTACCATTGAAACTGAAAAAAACACCTTTGGAGCTGAAATGTTCTGCGACTGAATCAGGCAACCTGCTTCAGATGAGGATCAGCTGATAAAACCTGACTTTCTTATCTGAACAGGGGCTTGGTAGTATTAGTCTTGTTTATCAGGGTCAACCTGAGGATAGTGCTGGAGATAGCTTCAGCATTATTATTTGAAATAGGGAAGGGGTAGTAGGAAAGAACATATTTTCTCTTTTAATTGATCTGCCCCCACAGCAGATAAATAGATTCCTCCGGAAAGCCCTTCAACAAAAAAGGAGGATTATAATTCCCTCCTTTGGTTTCTGTGCCTTATTAAGTATTGATTTATAGCTGGGATGCATTCATTTGATGAATGGGTCAAAACTGTTTCTTTGCTTTTTAAACCCCACCTTCTCCCAGTAGCAGCACAAAGAGCATTTTCACCATGTTTCCAAGTGCACCCCCACCCCAAATTGCATTTTTGGCTCAGGAGATGACTTTTTTTAAAAAAGTAAGAGATTATTGCTCAATTCATGCCTATTAGTTTCCAAAATGGTGGTTATGTGATTTGATCATCCATTTAACATAGACCTCCTGCCTATATTAAGATGACAAGCTTGAAGTGCAGCTTCCCAGATTCCCCATCAATGACAGCTACTTTCACTTTACTGGTTAATTATCATTCAATCAATTTCCGGCAAGAATATAGGCATTGTAGACATTAATAGCTGTGTTCTCTATGTTGATGCGCTGGATTAATGTTATTTCATTTGAAATATTAAATAAAGAGGTGTTATAGTTGTAATTGAAGTAAGATCTGGCCACGATGGTATATGCCTTGGTTATATCTTGGTTGGACTACTGTAATGCACTCTACATGGGACTGCCTTTGAAAAGTGCTCGGAAACGTCAGTTGAACCAAAAAGCAGCAGCCAGATTGCTAACTAGGCCTGGCTACAGGGAGCATACAACCCCTCTGTTGTGACAGCTCCACTGGCTGCTAACACATTTCCAAGCAGAATTCAGAGTGCCTAGTTTTGACTTACAAAGTCCTATATGGCTCCGGATCTCTTTCTATGAACCTGGGAGACATCTACGATCTTCTGGGGAGGGCCTTCTCTCGGTCCCACCGCCCATTCAAGCACGGTTGGTGGGAACATGGAAGGGGCCTTTTTAGTGGCTGCTCCCAGGCTGTGGAATTTCTTCCCAACAGAAACCAGTAAGGCCCCATCCCTGCTAGCCTTCTGCATGCAGGTCAAGACCTTCCTCTGCCAACAGGCTTTGGGGTAAGGTTAAGGGGAGCATCTGGGAAGGGTGGTTGGAGTTGGGGAGGGGGATATGAGTTTTAGAGGCCATTTTAATGTATTTGCTGTATTTTAATTCTGTTTTTACCACACTGTTATTATTCTTTTGTTTTTAAAATTTTGTATTGCTCTTTTTAAACTGTTTAGGAAGGATAGATGTTAGCTGCCTTGAGTCCCCATGTGGAAAAAGTAAAGATGATGATGATGATGATGATGATAATAATAATAATAATAATAATAATAATATAATATTATAAAACTTTATTTATATACTGCTCCATCTCCCCGAGGGGACTCAGAGCGGTTCCCAAGCAACATCACAAAACATACAGAGTAAAAACAACATAACCATAAGATTAACAAACAAAATATAAGCATAAAAATTGTTGCCATAACACACATATATTAAAAGTAATCCTGCCTTTTCAAGGCAATTAAAAATGTAAAAGGCTGGGGCAAGAATTGTGCAAGCCCAAAAATTCTAGGGGGCCCGGGAATTAGGTGCAATGCTATGGCAGGCAACAATAATATTAGGTACGGGTCTGTGGCTGTTCATTCCAGGGCCGATTAGAGGAAAGAATCTGGGTAACTGGTAGGAAGAATAAGGCCGTATTAGACAATGTGTGGGGCTGAGTTAGAACTGGTCATTTTCAAAGGCTTGTTGAAACCACCAGATCTTCAAGCTCTTACGAAAGGAGAGGAGGGATGGGGCCTGTCTTATTTCCCTTGGAAGAGTGTTCCAGCGACGGGGGGCCACCACTGAGAAGGTCCTCTCTTTCGTCCCCACCAACCGCGATGATGATGATGATGATGATGATGATGATGATGATAATAATAATAATAGTAGGTTTAATTGGTTCCACATTTTATTACATTACTTTAACTAAATCTGCAAACTGGTGTAAGAATTCCAGTCTAATTTGACAACAAGCCCAAATAAATAAGTGGTTGAGTCTAACCTGTTCAATAACAGAGGGATACAAGGATTTCCTCTAGGAAAGTATATATAAAGGAACAGAAAGGTTGATAAAGAAACAAAATGGATTCAGCTAGTGTTCTATAACCAAAGGGATGGCAGATAGGTGAGCCAAGAATATTAGAATTTGCCTGTCCAAGACAAATTCAAGGGAATGCACATGTGCATGAGAGTATGGCTGTATTACATTTTACTCCTGCCTGCATATCGTCTGTCAAATATCCTTATATTCCAGATTAGTATATTGGTTTAATTCCTTTTTTTTTAATTTCAAGATTGCCTTGTTTAAGTGAGGATAAGATCTTCTAGGAGTAAAATTTGCATAAATTGAAAAAGATGTTTGAAGTGACTCAACGTTAGTTTAGCCAATTATCATCTCATTTGGTGAGCATATTTGCCTAGCATATGCAAAAACATATTCTATGCACATACTATATTGATATAATACAAATGTAATTTACAGTCATCTTTGCACATTTTGTTTGAATCAGGATGGTCATGTTCTGGAATCCAGAGGTGCCATTTTGGTCTCTTGGCTCCATTGGGTCACTTTGGACTACAGCAGTTGCTTTTTTGGGTTACTAGAAAGTCATGTGTCGCTCCTGGTTGCCTTTGGGGCCTCAGAACAGTTCTAAAATAGCAGGTTTCTGGAATGTTTTGTAGGAAAGAAAACATTTTCTCAGTCAAAAGATATTCTTTTTTGCAGGGTGTCCTTAACAGATTAGAGAGGCCAAAACGAACAAAATGAAATTCAACAGGGACAAATGCAAGAGACTCCACTTAGGCAGAAAAAAATGAAGTGCAAAGATACAGAATGGCAGATGCCTGGCTTGACAACAGCACATGTGAAAAAGATCTTGGAGTCCTTGTGGACAACAAGTTAAACATGAGCCAACAATAGGATTTTGGCCTGCATAAAGGAGAGATTATTATCATTATTATTATTATTATTATTATTATTATTATTATTATCATTATTATTAAACTTTATTTCTATTCCATCACCATCTCCCCTCAAGCCCCCAAAATACAGTAAACAAATGAAACAACATACAGCAAAATAATAATTAAAATAAAAATAAAAATAATGTGCAGCAATAAAAACAATAACATACAAACAGTAAAAGAAAATTAACAGTGGAATATAACACCAGGTATGAAATAATAACAATTAAGGACAAGGGGTTAATCAAGATGGGCTGTGTCATATGCAGGGATAAAAACAGGGGACATAGGGTGGAATAGGAAAGCTAGATACTGATGTTTAATTATTTATGTTACAATTGTTTTTAATTGCCCTATACTTGTCTCGTTATGTTTTGTATTGATGTTGTTCACCGCTTTGAGTCGCCTGAGGGCTGAGAAAAGCGGTATATAAATAAAGTAAATAAAGTAAATAATAAATAAATAGATATAGTGCCTAGATCCAGGGAAGTCATGCTACCCCTATATTCTGCCATGGTCAGACCACACCTGGAATACTGTGTCCGCTTCTGGTCACCGCAATTGAAGGGAGATGTCAACAAGCTGGAATGTGTCCAGAGGAGGGCGACTAAAATGATAAATGATCTGGAGAACAATCCCTATGAGGAGCGGCTGAAAGAGCTGGACATGTTTAGCCATCAGAGGAGAAGGTTGAGAGGAGACATGATGGCCATGTATAAATATGTGAGAGGAAGCCATAGGGAGGAGGGAGCAGACGTGTTTTCTGCTGCCCTGGGGAGACTTGGACAATAGCTTCAAACTACAGGAAAGGAGATTCCACCTGAACATAAGGAAGAACTTCCTAACCGTGAGAGCTGTTCAACAGTGGAACTTTCTGCTCCAGAGTGTGGTGGAGGCTCCTTCCTCGGAGGCTTTTAAACAGGCTGGATAGCTATCTGTCAGACGTGCTTTGAATGCGATTTTCCTACTTCTTTGTAGGGAGTTGGACTTCATGACCCACAAGGTCTCTTCCAACTCTATGATTCTAAAGCTTGGGGAATTGCAGTGGATCCCCAAAGCATCCCATATTACTGATACAATTAATATAACATCTTGTTTGCTTAGAATCCATCAAATTAAAATGAAAGAAAGTCATTATCAAAGTGTAGTAATTACAAATCTGTTTTTAGAATGACAAACTTGAGATTTAAGAATAATGAAGCAATGAAACGTAAATTCTTTTAAACAGGTAGATTTGAATAAATTACAGGTTTTTCTTTTCTGTGTATTTATTTCTAGCTAGTGATACAAAGGAGAGGCAATACTGGGTGACTCAGCTGCGATCTTGTGCCAAGTACCATACAGAAAATAATTTAAAGGTAAGTAATTATTTAAGAGAAATCGTGTTCTTGCTTGTCATTTGGTTTATTAGCACAAATTCTGTTCAAGTGCTTAGGTATATTAATAGAGCTAAAATGGTTTGAGTTTTGTTTTTGTTTTGTTCTTATATATATTGAAACAAGGTTCTGAATATTACCAGCATTAATTGGATTTTCATGGGTTGGAGAAGACAAGCGGATGGCAAAAAAGGGGATAATTTTGAAAGAGTCAGATGTAGAATTTAACTGCATGATGGCCATGTGTAAATATGTGAGGGGAAGTCATAGGGAGGAGGGAGCAAGCTTGTTTTCTGCTGTCCTGGGAACTAGGACGCAGAACAATGGCTTCAAACTACAGGAAAGGAGAGTCCACCTGAACATGAGGAACAACTTCCTAATTGTGAGAGCTGTTCAGCAGTGGAACTCTCTGCCCTGCAGTGTGGGGGAGGCTCCTTCTTGGAGGCCTTTAAACAGAGACTGAATGACCATCTGTCGGGTGCTTTGAATGTAATTTTTCTGCTTTTTTGCAGGGGGTTGGACTGGATGGCCCATGAGGTCTCTTCCAACTCTATGATTCTAGGATTCTCTTTCTGCTTCTCTTGTGGGCTCCCTTCAAAGGATTCTGACGATAGTTGTAGTCTCATTAATTATTAAATGTATTATTAATAATAAATGTATTTAAATGTATTTAATAATAATAATAATTTATTAAATGTATTTAGCCCATTGCCATGGTGCAATGGGTTAAACCCTTGCGCCAGCTGAATTGCTGACCTGAAGATTGGCTGGTTTGAATCCGCAAGACGGTGTGAGCTCCCATCTGTTAGCTCCAGCTTCCCATGCAGGGACATGAGAGAAGCCTCCCACAGGATGGTAAAACATCCGGACGTCCCCTGGGCAACATCCTTGCAGACGGCCAATTCTCTCACACCAGAAGCGACTTGCAGTTTCTCAAGTCACTTCTGACACGAAAAAAAAATCTGCAGAATGTTATATCACTTAAAATATCTATGTTTATTAAAGGGTAGACTTTAGTGCCATGCTCATAATAAACCCACTTAACTGGAGGTAAGTCCAAAATGAATTTCACACAGCATATGTGCGAATAAGCAAGCATAGGACTGCACTGTAGAAGAACTGTCAGGTTTGGAAATAAGATAATTTCGATGTCACAAAGCACATAACAAGAAATGACACCTTACTCTTCTTTTATTGTGCTATTTTTTCAACCATCTGACTCTACTTAGCTTTGCTCATAACAGTATTCTTGGATTAGTATTCAAACAGCTTTATACTGTGCACTGCCAAAATTTTGAGTGCAACTGATTTAAACAAATTCCTTTGTGAACATGGGAAGAATTGCCATTGCGTATTTTAAAAGAAAATTGGTTTAAATAAGTCACTGATTAACAATATTTTGAGTTGTTTCACTTGCCTTATTGGAAGTAGGTTCAAGCAGAGTTTGCTCACACCGTCCTGCTTTGGTGTTGATGTCATGGGCTTTTCAGTGGGAAGGGGGCCATGTAAACACCCAGAGGAAAATAGCGCTGCATTTTAACTCACGATGAAATAAAATACATTTAAACATATTAAAAACCAGAAACAAACCACTTTCATTTAATGTGGACTGTAATTATCCTTCCAACCTGATGTTGTGATGTTTTCTGGACAGAGGAGGATTAACTGTAATACCTGTAATGTGATCTATTTGAGGAATTCAGTTGCTGAGGTTCAGGATGGAAAGTGCTCTGCTTGAAATAAACAAATATACCTTTCTCGTAACTGTGAGGGATGGTGCCAATTTTTGTGCAGAAGTTAAACAAGGAGTTTTTGAGCATCACATGAGATGTGTTAATGGAATTTTCCAAGTCTTGTTCTGGAGTTGTAGGAGGATTCCATAATTCTGTGCCTTTAGAGCAGGCATGGGAAAACTTCAGCCCTCCAGGTGTTTTGGACTTCAAATCTTTTCTTTTTTTTTTTTTTTTTTTTTTTTTTTTTTTTTTTTTCGCTTCCAACTCCCAGAATTCCTAACAGCCTACTGGCTGTTAGGAATTCTGGGAGTTGAAGTCCAAAACACCTGGAGGGCCAAAGCTTGCCCATGCCTGCTATAGAGCATATGGGGTATTCTGATATTTAGTCTACTGGGTATTAGGCTTCTGCATGTCAGAGAATAAATTAAATGTAATTACTCAGCTGAGTTCTGTGCATACATCTATCACAAGAAGAGGGGAATGTGCTGGCTATAAGACTGTATAAATCACCTACCTGGTTTTAAGTAGGGCATTTCTGTCCAAATCTGCCTTGCATTACTGTAGATTATTTGTGTGCATTAAATCTAATATCTTGCTGAAAACACTTACTACTTAGCATTGAAGATAAGAGTACTTTTATATGTCATAGAATGAGAATCTAAGTAAAGGTAAAGGTTTCCGCCTGACATTAAGTCTAGTCGTGTCCAACTCAGGGGGGTGGTGCTCATCTCCTTTTCTAAGGAGAAGAGCTGGCATTGTCCATATATGCCTCCAAGGTCATGTGGCTGGCATGACTGCATGGAGCGCCGTTACCTTCCTATTGATTTACTCACATTTGCATGTTTTGGAACTGCTGGGTTGGCAGAAGCTGGGGCTAACAGCGGGAGCTCACCACCAACCTTTCGGTCAGCAAGTTAAGCAACTCAGCAGTTTAGCCTGCTGTGTCACAAGGGGCTCCTAATGAGAACCTAGAATAGATAAAATTATTATTATTTTTTTTTTTGCTGGAACATTGTTACTTTATCTTTGGGTGCATATCTGCCAGACAGATATTTTACAGAGTTTGTGGAAATCCGTTATATTTCACCCTTCTCACCCCAAAGAGGATTCAGGGTGGATCACAATGTACACATACGCGGCAAACATTCAATGCCATTTTTTACATACAAGACATACAGATAGAGGCCATTCAGCAGTTCTTCTACTTCGGATCCTGAAGGTTGCTCGATTTGGCCACAGGGGGAGCTGTCACGTCATCCACTGTGATGTTGAGCCTTTTGATCAAATTGATAGTATTTCCTCCTTTCTCTCCGGCATTTTTATGGTGTCATAAATTAGCCTCCCCGCTTTAAGCGGTCCCTAAATTCTCTACTCACATCTCACAGCTGTTTTCAAACTGCTTAGGTCAACAGTGAGCTGGGCATTTTTTAACAGCTATTTTTTTTAACAGCTATTAACAGTCGGGTGCTCCACCCCAACTCAGGCTTCAAACTTGCCACCTTTCGGTCGGCAGTGATTTATTGCAGCTGATTAACCAGTTGTGCTACCAGCCCGGCCCAATAATAATAATAATAATAATAATAATAATAGGATTACTAGACACTTGGGAAGTGTCCGATATGTGATCCAATACAACAGGCAGCAGAGTGACCTTGTTTGCTCTGTATTAATCTTGTTGTCTTTCAAATAATAATAATAACAGAGTAAAATAATAAATAGCCTTGACTCGAGTATAAGCCAAGAGGGACTTTTTCATCCTAAAAAGGGGCTGAAAAACTAGGCTTATACTCAAGTATATACAGTATTTTGTTTCTTTTCCCTCTTCCCTCTAAATAAGCAATTTCATAGCATTTGGGGGAGAAAGTGGCCGAATGATAGAACTATTACATTATCATTAGCTTAGCTTACCTGCAATGACTGTTCTGTGTAAAGGGATCATTGAGGTTTCTTCTCCTTAACAAATACATTATCCCTTTGTTTCAAAATAAGCTGGTATTATCATGTACATGCTGGGAATGCTCTGTTCTTTTTTCTTTGATCTGCTCCCTTATTTTGTTCATCTTTCATCTTGCCTTTTTGGTGTTTCTATATGGCTGTCTTTCTTGTTCTTTTGAAGCCAAATCTATCTTTTTTTCAAAGATAGATTCTTGTTTTTCTGCTAGACTCCTGATTTCCTATTCTTTCTGTGTTTTTGATGTTATCTTTTCTCTTATTTTCATATTTTCTTCGCTTCTCAGAATTCATCATCTGCCAAATAATGTCATTTTTCCATTGTCAAACATTGCTGAATTTCTTGTCATTTTCATTGGTTCTGTTTATTATGAACCAAAGGATTCGTGTAGTACTATTTTGGCTGGTTTCCCCTTTTCTCAACTTAAATGTCTTGTGTTTTGTGTTCTGCCACCCACCATTTTTGTCTGAAAAACAATAATTTCATTGTTTGTGATTTATTTGGTTCTTTTCATATTTAATTGAAGAGCCTGTTGCTCACCTTAAAGTATATTTAAGCTCTAATATTTTCTTCTCACATCAGCATTTTGGCTTGCAAATTCTGTATTTTCCTCCCTTATACATTACAAGTTAAGTTAGCTTAATTTGATTATTTGTCTTTTTAAAAGAGTATTTGATATGTTCTACACTTTTCATTGGCCTTTACCTCATTTATTTAATCCTTATGTTCATTTTGAATTCTGTTTTTTGCCTGAAGTTATATAGTATGCCCATTGGGTAGGATCTGTCATCTGCTGTGTTTTGTAGTGTCTAGATTTTAGATGCTAAAAATACATCACTTCATACATATTGCAGAGGTTCAGAGTGCATTATCAAGTACTTTTACTTGGGATTGCTTCTTGTGGTTGTATCTGCATGTACTCTGAGTCTAGGACACTGGATGGAACTGGATGACAGGAAGCCCATCTGCTGGGTTATAGAAGGATTATCTTTGGTTAGCGATCACTTAGTATCTGGATCTCTTGTGAAATAACATGAAATAAATTAGGGAGTCTCTATGTGGAGATATTTGTTCTGGGATTGCTTTAACTGTATACATTTATCTCTGTCCATGAATTTTTCAATTTTAGAAGAAAATGTGAAAACACTGATGAGCCTTCAGTAGCCCTTTTTGAAAGTCATTTGCTCTAGCTGTGTTGAAGATAGGGAGTGTGCAGATACCCTGGCTTCAACCTGCTTTCCTCCCCACTCTTTTCCTCATTTCCCTCTTCCCTCCTCACTTCTTGTGGTTTTCTTTTTATGTAAAACTAGCTTGAGTCCCCAGCGGTGCCCGGATTATTTGAAAAAGGCCTTGTTTGTTTTGGGGTATTAGGTGATATTATTTTGTTAATTAGTAACACTATTGATTAGGAAAATGCCAGTCTTTGATTTCGTTTTTTATGAATGCTCCCATTAGAAAATACATAACGATGTGGATGAACTACGATTTCCAGAATTGTGGGTCAATCCTCCCCAAACTAGGCCTGTATGCTGTGTGTGTGCCAAATTTGGTGCAGATCTATCGTTGGTTGAGTTCAGTGCTCTCTGGATAAGGGCGAACTACAACTCCCATATGCCAAGGGCAGTCACCCCCAAACCCTGCCTGTATTTACAGTTGGTCTCAGTCCCCAAAACCCCTCCTGTCTGTTTGGTTGCTGATCAATTCCTGTGTGTTTTCTGTATGTCATAGGAAAAGATAGGAAAGAGGTAAGGGAAAGGCAGTGGGTGGGGTCATGCAAATTCTACACAAGGAACCCTGGGATGTCTGCCTGTGGTGGAGGAAACATCAAATCTAGGCTGAAATTCTCCCTGAATGAAATCATTCCTTGGGTGGTGGGCAGTAGTGTTTGGGGAAGACATTGGCAGCATTTGGGCTACATGTTCACTATGCTTGTTGTAACCGCAATGTTAGTGGAGGGAGCACCTTTGGAGGCTTCTCAGCACTTAGAATTATAGCCTATTTGTGGAGGTGGGAGGCTGTCTATGTAAGTGGACACCTCCACCACATACACATTTTTCATTTTTATTATGTGTATAGATTTCTGATAGTGGCAGATTAATTGGCCCTTAGTTATAGTAATGGGTTATAGTAATGGGCTGACTGAATTCCAGTAAAGTCAATCTGGAATACGGAGAAAGACATTGCTGGCTCATTTGAGTAGTAGTCACTGTGTTTTTGAACAGATATGTACTCTTTGAAGGAACAGGTTTGACATTTAGGAAGGCTGCTTGAATAAGCATTTTTGATAGAATTGGAGGTCATCTGTATGACAGGCATATGCTCTATTAATGCCCAGAGTATATCAGTGTGATATATGATTAAGGTTCCTTCAAAGACTGCTCAGAAGCTTCAATTCCTTCTGAAATACAGCAAGGAAACTGCAAACTGGGACTGTTAGGATCATGCCTGCAGTACAGGAAGTTACTGTTCAATCTTCCTTTTATTATAGGGTGTTCCACACATGTACCTTCAATAGAGAAATAATTCTCTATCTATTGAGCATCCTGTCCTCAAATGACTGTTCTAGATGTGCGGGTCTTTTGTGTGTGTGTATTAGTACAAACCTCTCTTTCTTGTTGTCAGTGCATTGTTTCGTTACCCTCCAGTTGGCCTTAACCAGCTGAACGGGTAATGATGGATGTGAAATATTTAGAATATTTTAAAGCTTTATGTACAGTATATTCTGGCGTATAAGACTACTTTTTAACCCAAGAAAATCTTCTCAAAAATCAGGGGTCGTCTTATACACGGGTGTAGTCTTATGCATGGGAGTCGTCTTAATCTCTATATTTTAACTGGAAAAGTTGGGGGTCGTCTTATACACCCAGTCGTCTTATATGCCGGAATATACGGTAAATATCAAGCATTACTATTACTGTCGCTACTGTTGCTACAAATACTTTTGCTACTGTTATAGGAGGGTGAATTAACTAGATCAGTGGTTCTCAACCTGTGGGTCCCCAAATATTTTGGCCAACTCTCAGAAATCCTAACACCGGTAAACTGGCTGGGATTTCTGGGAGTTGTAGGCCAAAACACCTGGAGACCTACAGGTTGAGAACAATTGAATTAGATGGATAAATAATTTCTTAAGTTAGATGCTGTAGTTGTGGCAATGTCATGGATCATGGTAAAACTTTGGTGCTGGTTGATCTGAGTTGAAGTAATAAAACCTTGAGGAGTATATCTTTAGATAGGAGAAGGAGAAAGAGTGAATGAATGCTGGGGTAACAACTGTAGACAATTAGAATAAATGAAGTAATATCGAGTTGACTCCTTCCGTTCTCCCATATACTTGATCTTGTCTATAGAAGTTCATATGGGTTAGAAAGGTTGGAAGAATTGCCTTTTAAAACTCTTTTGTCTTACATTCAGTAGACACTGGCCATGCTTTTGCTGCAAGAAGGACTTAAACAGGGGTATGGGTTGTGGCTAGGTTTAGGCTTGGACTGAGAAGAAAGAGGAAGAGATTTTTGTGAATGGTTTGTTTTGAGTTTGCCTGACTGTATGTTCTGGGCTGGAACATGTCCCTAAAGCTCGGAAAACTCACAACAACCCAGTGATTCTGGCCATGAAAGCCTTTGACAATACATTATTTTGAATGTTTGTTAAAATGAACAGCAGTGTTTTAGCTGATTTCACTAGAAAAAATATCTCAGTATCATTTGTGAGGGTATTATTCTCATACCACTATTTTCTTGTACTTCTAAAACCTCTGGTTGTTCTAGAGCACTCCAACCTCACGAATGAAAAGCTTATCTCTGTTGCCTCTTGGAACAATCAACTCCACATCTCCCAGTTTTCAGAAAAACCTGAACCAGAGTGGGCCACCCGTTGTCACCATTACACATCACAAATCGCCTGCAGCAGCACGAAGAGCCAAGAACCAGTGCCCTGGCCAGCTTCATGAAGTCAGAGAGGTAGGAGATGTATGGAGGGCTTTATTGTTGGTGCTCACAGGATATAATTGTTCAGAGTTTTTATGCTATAAAAATAGATGTATCTATCATATTGACATAGCTCTGAAAGCTAGGGTTTGAATCCCTGCTTAGCCATGAAAATCAACTTGGTGACATTGGGCAAGTCACACACACTTAGATTCAGATAAAGGCAAAGGCAACCCCCCCCCCCCGAATAAATCTTGCCAAGAAAATCCTATGATAGAACAGCCTTAGGATGACCATAAACTGGAAATTTTTTTGAAGGTACACAAGAACAACAAACACGAGCATGCTTTTGTAGCATAAGATAACTATTTCAATTTTTGCTGCTGTAACATTTATTATATAAACTATAGTACATTTGCAGCTGTTCTATAGCTCTCTGTAGGGAGTTGACTGAAATGTATATAAATGATAGATTAAAATCTTTTAATTTTATATTCCTGGTCCATCAGTGGATTATACTCAGTCTTTTCCTGTTGGCTCTAGCTGCAAATAGAAATCAACATGTTGCCCTAACACACTCCTATGAATTTCTCTTTTAATCTTTATTTGGAAGGTATCAATGGTAGGAAAATATTTACCAGAACTTCAATTGCATACAAAGGGTGACAGAGATGGTATTATCTCCTTCTGTTTATTTATTTCAGATATTTATTTCAGATATTTGTACCCTGCCCTTCTACCCCCCCCCCCGGGGGGGGGGGACGGGACTCAGGGCGGCTTCCAGCCAGCAACAATTCAATGCCTCCAATGCACACATAATAAAATACATAATAAAATCAAATAATTACATACATTTATAACATTAAATCACATTCATTACTTAAAATCAGTTTCTGTTTCAATAACAACCTGGTGGCCTTATCTGACTCCATCAAGCATGTCCATAGTCCATTTCCATAGCGATTGTCATCCTAGCAGTGAAGGGCTGAAGGTAGTACTGTTTTAGTGTTTTAGTGAGAATGCTGGACGGAAAATATTTATGAGCTTGTGCATTTAAAAATCAGGATGTTCTCTGTGGTTGGAAGTTAGGAGCAGAAAGCCCTTCCATTAAATGCATCTGCTGTAATTGGACTCTTCTCTCAGTGGGCAGAAAGATTTTAGAAGCTTTGATCAAGAAGGACAAGACAGGAAAGCTTTAAGAAAACAGACTCCTAAAGGCCTGTTTCAATTTGAAAGACCAATCTGAGATGAAAGCTTTATGTTTTCTCTTGACAGTACTGGCTTAAGATGATACCATCCTTGTGGTATCTCACCACTGTGGAAGGAATTGTATTCCTCGCTGATGGACATGAGTAGTTACACAGCACAATGGAGGTGTGTGGAGTGAGGATTCAAGACGTATGCATTCCTAGCCATATCCCAGTCTTGCTCAGGGACACAGCATTTTCAGCCTATTTGAAGTTTCAGCCTATTGATCTGAACAGCAGATACAAATGAAATAAATGGAATTGGATTGCAGACTATGGTTACAGTGTAGTTTTAAACTGCTGAGACCAATGAAGAAAGATTTTAACTTATGTGTTCAGACAGTGAAGGAGGGAAATCTCACAACATAGTATGCACCCTTGTATCTGTAAGGGATACTTTCCTCGAATTTCCTTGACCTCGTGTGAATATGCAAAAACAAGGATAAGAGTGAAACCTATTGAAATGAAGGATTTCTAACCCCAAAATACCATAGAGTCATGCAGGAGTATTTAGGAGATTATCATATTACACTGTTAAATCCACATTAACTGCTGTGGCAGCATTCTGTGGAATTCTAGGGTTTGTAGTTTAGTGAGGTCCAGAACTTCTCTGGCTAGGAATTGTAAATGCTCCTCCCTAAACTGCAAATCCCAGGATTCCACAGGAGGCAGCCATAGCAGTTAAAGTGGAATAACATCACTTTTAATAGGTAGTGTGATAATCTGCTCATAAAATGTCTAGAGAAGATATACTTTGTCAGGTGTGGATAAATGAAACTCCGGATATGAGTCCCACAGATATGGGGGGAGGGTCATACTGTGGCTCTTACTATGGTTAGTAATAACTACTATCCTATATTAAATTTGTCTCTTCAGAGAAAAGTGTACCATGTTTCACAAGACTAGGTGGATTAATAGGCTATTTGCTAATAACTTTCTATCATGCACTGTCATGCTTGAATTTTAATTTTAATTCGTGCAGTGGTTTGCAGTTTAAACACTTGAGTATTGGTTTTAAGCACAGATAATACGCAGCTAGTGTGTTTATATTTTAAGTCCATCAAGCATTAACAGTGCTACAACCCCTCTCCCATCTTGTGTGATGTTCTGTAGACGTTTAGAATGGAAACTTTCATATGCTCCACCATGTATATTGAATGCTCAGAACGCTGGACACTGTAGTCTAAAACAGGGTTTCTTGAACTGGGGTCTCCTTAGCTCAGTGGTTCTCAACCTGTGGGTCCCTAGATGTTTTGACCTTCAACTCCCAGAAATCCTAACAGCTGGTATACTGGCTGGCATTTCTGGGAGCTGTAGGCCAAAACACCCGGGGACTCACTGCCTTAGCTCAACATTTGGGTCCCAAAGTGGCTGTTTTAGATATTTATATGACTCTCTTATGCAGTATTTATAGTGGACTCTTCAGAAGATGCTTCCGTTGTACTTCATGAAAAAGGAAAAGCAGCCTCTTTGACAAGTTCTGAAATGTTGATTTGTTTCCTAACTACTTTATATACCTATACACCGAGGGTCACGTAAAAATTTCTTAGACCAAAAGGGATTGTGAGTGGAAAACTTTAAGAAGCCCTGGTCTAAAACACTAGGGGTACCAGTTGGGGAATTTTATCAGGAACCAGTGCTACAAAGGATATTTTGCACTTGCTGTGTTTCAGTAATGATAGTTTCCAAGTATGCTTTTAGAATTTATTTTGATTGCATATTACATTCAGCACGTTTTGACTTTTCATTGCAAAAGGATTAGAGATTTAACGCTCAAAGTATTAGATTTTCAAGCCTAGACATAATTAAAGAAGCTTTGAAAATGTAATTTCCAATGGCTTGTAGTATTATGCTGTTTGAATGTGGATTCCTTCCATGCTTTCCCACTGCCTAGGAAACACATGCAGAGATTAAAAAAAACATAGTTAAGAAGGAATTATTTCCTTTTCATCATTAGATTCATAATCCTAAGAGTGGAAACTTAAATATTAGGCAAAGGACTGAAATTGAAGGCCATGTTGTTCAACCAAATGTTTACCTATAGCAGAAGAATGTCTATTACTGTGTTTGGACCAAACTTCTCCCTGACTTCTCAAACTTGTTTTTGAAAAACAAGTATGAGCTAGAACTGGGCTGACTAATCTGTTCCATTATAAAATGATTAGCATATATATGCAAGTCTCCTTTCTAAAGAGAAGAATATATGCTTTTTTGGCTTTTGCTAATGGAATTATTTGGAATATTTCTGAAGACTTAAAGTAAACACAGTTGAAGGATTGGTTACAAGAGACAGAGCACTTATGAGACTATTGATTATTAACACACTATCAAGGGAAGAGTTTAGATGGAATTTTTGAAATCAACTTAGAACACCATTCTGTATAATGCAATGCATTATAGATTTAGGGCTGGCACATACTGTACTACAGATTGGGCAAGTAACTTATTTATACAAGTTTTGCCCTTTGCTCTTCTCTTGTTATGCCAGCCATAAAAACCTTTGATTATGGGATATGTTCATATAAGTACAAGATGAAGTCATAATGATGAAATCTATAGGCCTACATTTGTATATTATGGATTGAATATAGTTATTAGTAACACTTAAACTAGACCTACTGAATCTTCTAGACTGATGTAACTGATGACTTAACTATTCAGCAGTAGAATAAGTAGGTCTACTCTAGGTAGAGCTAGCAGTTACATTTAGCTTTTTGACCTCTAAATCCTAATGCTTAGTACTACTATGCACAGTGCAGCCCTTGGTGAGATGCAGAACTTGGCAGTTTGAGTTTGAGGTTTTGTCTCTTGTACTTCGGGTGCCATGGTGGAACAGGATTGACATAAATGGCATTGTCTGCCCATATTTTGATAGACCAGTGGTTCTCAGCCTGTGGGTCCCCAGGTGTTTTGGCCTACAACTCCCAGAAATCCCTGCCAGTTTACCAGCTGTTAGGATTTCTGGGAGTTGAATGACAAAAGATCTGGGGACCCACAGTTTGAGAACTGCTGTGATAGACCATTCTTAAAGCCAGATTTTGAAAGTTTGAAATTACCTATATCAAGGGAAGCATAGAAACAAGTTTATGTGTGTGTGTTTTTAAATGTATATGCATGTATATATACACTTGCAGATCATGAGCCAAGTGGAGGGACAACAAAAGAACCTTGTGCAAGCCATTGAATCCCTCCCAGGTTCTGGTCCTCTTTCTGCCTTGGATCAAGACTTACTGCTATTAAAAGCTACCTCTGCCGCCGCCCTCTGCTGCCTTGGAGAATGCCTGCATTTGCTACAACAGAGCATAAACCAAGTGAGCCCGCATAGTAACAGGACATTGCCTTCAGGTGAGCAGTGCTGGCTTGATTTTCGGTAGGAAAATAGTATAATCATCTCACACTTTCCCTAAAAACAGTATACAGGTTTCATGTGGCTTTAGCCAAAATGTAAGGAGTGGAGGCAGTGGCATATCTGTGAAGTCTCTTTGAGTGAGTCATGAACTAATCCAGTGATCTTTTAATCTTGATTTTAAAATATGAGTGGTTTTATGTAGTAGTCTTAGTGAAGAATAATCTTATAAAATATGGGCCTGCTTATCAAACTTTGAATCCTGGGAAATAAATGCTCAAAGAAAAGCCATGCAGTGTGGATACTGTATCCACAGATGCTGCATCTGCGGATTTAACTAACCATGAATCCAATACATATGTTTTTAATATACAGGGGCATGGTGATTGGCAGCTGTGTTAGGAACTCCTGCTTCTTTCTTCAGGAACAATAGCACCATCACTGCTAGCCTGTCCTCAAAATGTTTGCCATTCTGTAAACAGTGGCTTTTCCAGGAACATGGCGGTTGATGGTGGTGGGTGCTCCTGCTTGTTCATTCCTGAGAGCATCATTGCTGCAGCTCACCATATATTGCAGAAGCTGTTTGCCACCTGTGATCAGCAGCAACAGTGCCAAACTTTAACTCCCTTTCCCACTTTACAGCAAGGCAGCGTACAGATGGCAAGGAGCAGAAGGAGAGGGACAGGAATGTAGATCATGGTTTGGAAATGAGGCTGTGGTGTATTGGTGGAAGGTGGGAAGGGAGTTAAGGCCAATCATCATGTCCCTGACAAACCTGCTTGCTGCCAATTTCAGAGTGAGCAAACTAGCAGGAACACCTCCTGCCATTGCCAGGGCTTGGTGCTGCCTTTGTGACTATCCTATGCACAAGTTCTGATAGCACCTTTCCATAGCATGGATCCAAGAACCCCTGGTTTGACTCTCAACTTATCCACAGGTCATATCAGAATCCAGAATTTTGCCCCCAAAGCCAGCCCTTGACTTATACATGAGGTAGACTTATACACAAGTACATATGGTATTCCAGAAGTTTTTGATATTGCTAGTAGTTACTGGAAGAGAAAGTGGCCATGTGGTTATGTTTACTCCATTAGCTGCACAAAGGTTACATCCAGCTACCCAGCTTTTCTGCATGAAGTATTATATGGCATTATAGCAATATAATAATTCAAGCCATGATGACATCCATAGTGTTCCCCAACAGCATTTTCGATCCTTGCAAGCCATAAACTGGCATAACAATGCATAATTATAGACTAAGGAAAATAATTTCTCTTCGGCTTTCATCACAATGCTATTTCTTTCCTCCCTGTCCTCTGTTCTTTTCTTTCTCTCTGGTTTTTATCTTCTTTCACTATAGTAATAATTCACCCTGTACCAAGTTCACATGGGTTACTACAGTTCTGCTCTGGCTATTGGGCTGTTTCCAAGTAGTCTCTTCTTCCTACAATTTCTACTAAGTGCAGTGCATTTAACTACCTCTTTAAACCATTTCCTTTGCCATCTTTGCTCACCACAGAGCTTTTGTATCTTTAAAAACTGTAAATGATGCAGATGTTAAAAAATATAACTTTCTCAAGAAACAGATATTTCACAAATTTTGGAATACTGCTTTTGGTCTCTAAAATTGTTTTCAACGCTTTGCGATACCTCATCTGCAAAACAGTCAATAATGATTTGACTCAGGGTTAGACTTGTAAGGACAACTGAGCTACCTTTCTACCAAGAAAGTAATTGCTTCTATTTTAAAAAAATGGATATGAGGATCAGTAGGTTCTAAATATGTGCAGAAGCCCTTCTGTCTTTGAATTTTTAACAGAGCAATTGTTTACTTGTTTACACAGAAGTACCACTGAGATCAGTAGAGTTTACTTCTGGGTAAGTAAGTGTAGGCCCCATGCATAGCAGGTTCAACCGGTGAGCTGCTGAACTTGCTGACTGAAAGGTCAGTGGTTTGAATCTGGAGAGTGGGGTGAGCTCCTGCTGTTAGCCCCAGCTTCTGCCAACCTAGCAGTTCGAAAACATGCAAATGTGAGTAGATCAATAGGTACTGCTTCAGCGGGAAGGTAACGGTATGCTATGCAGTCATGCCAACCATACGACCTTGGAGGTGTCTATGGACAATGCTGGCTCTTCGGCTTAGAAATGGAGATGAGCACCACCCCCTAGAGTCAGTCATGACTAGACTTAATGTCAGGGGAAACCTTTACCTTTACAACCTAAGTGTAGTTAGGCTTGTAATGTGAAAGGCAAAACGACTGAAGGACATCTTTGCCTCATTCTTTTCTTCCTCCTTCCTCCTTTCCTCAGTTTCATACATTCAGGTGGTGCTCCACATTTATGGGTTTGGCTTTGTGAATTTGGTTAAAATGTTCTTTCTAGTAATCTCTAGGTCCACCAGTGTAATTATATGGTCAGCGTCCATGGGAATTTGACCCTAGAATCATGCTGGAAGACCTAGAACAGTGGTTCTCAACCTGTGGGTCCCAGATGTTTTGGCCTTCAACTCCAAGAAATCTTAACAACTGGTAAACTTGCTGGGATTTCTGGGAGTTGTAGGTCAGAGGTGGGAAGCACCTCTTGTTCCCACCAGCCGTACTTGGGCAGAAATAAACAGCAACAGAGTTTGTTACGGAATCGTGGAAGCTGTAATTTTACAATACCTTTTGTCTTTTCTGTGTGTGGATTGTGGAGAAGAGCAAACCACAGATCACCTATTACAATGCAGTCTGAGCCCTGCCACATGCACTATGGAGGACCTGCTCAGAGCAACACCAGAGGCACTCCAAGTGGCCAACTACTGGTTTTTAAATATATTACAACTGTACCCTCGGTTTGCTTCTGGTACGATAAATAAATAAAAGCTTTTCTGCCAAAGAGGGCTGGTACCTTACCAAACTACAGCTTTCAGGATTTCATAGCATTGAGTTATGGCAGTTGAAATGGTGTCAAACTGCATTAATTCTACAATGCAGATGCTTTCCTGGTTTTGATTTGAATAGATGAGTTTGGCAACTGAAGTTGCAGATTTTCTGTGCTCTTCCTCCAAGAAGATAAATGGACTGCATGATGTTGTTTAGTCAGATTTCTGATGATTTCCCTTCAACACAAAGGCAGCACTACAGAGGCTTGAGTTAAATGGCTTGTAAGAAGCTTCTATGGTAGATCTAAATGTGAAATAACTTAACCTGAAAAGGTCACCAAGGAGCAGAAAAGACCCGCTTGTGGAATTCTGTTTCATCACAATCACTCAGCATGAACAGAAAGAGTTAGTAGAATTCCATGGTGTCACACAGTCCTGGCCTCTCTTCAGAAGTGGAGTGGAAACTGCTCAAGTATTTTTTTTAAAGAAACACTTAACGTCAACTTGCTTCCCTATGCCTTTACTTGCTTGCTTGAAGCAGATCTTTTGCTGTGCCTGCTGCTGTGATTGCCACATGTCTGGAAAATTCACAGGTGTCCAGTTTCTGAAATGTCTGCACTTTATTAGAGTTTAGTAGGTTTTCCCAGACTTGATTGTTTTAAAAATTAGAGTTAAGATAATTTTAATAGTAAGCAAATGCCTTTCAGAATGCACAGATAGCTAAATACTGTGCTTGAATTAAAAAAACAACCCATATTGTTGGTTTTTTGGCTGTTTTTGGCCCTTCTGTGAAGTATACTATTGTATTTCTTCGATTCTAGAATGCACTTTGTGCTCCATATGAGCATCTCTAAAAATGAAGGGTGTCTAAGACTTGTAGGTGTTTATATAAAGATTTTTTTCTGTTGGTCATTCTGAAATTAGTGTGCCTCTTACAATCAATGGCATCTTAGAATGGAAAAATTTGGTAGTTATAAAGAAACTAACTTAGGAACCCCGTTGGCATAGTGGCTTGCTAAACTTGCTGTTCAAATCCGGGGAGCAGGATGAGCTCCCACTGTTAGCCCCAGCTTCTGCCAACCTAACAGTTCGAAAACATGAAATTGTGAGTAGATCAATAGGTACCGCTCTAGTGGGAAGGTAATGACACTCCATGCAGTTATGCCAGCCACATGATCTTGGAGGTGTCTTCGGACAATGCTGGCTCTTCGGCTTAGAAATGGAGATGAGCACCACCCCCTAGAGTTGGACATGGCTAGACTTAATGTCAAGGGGAAATCATTACCTTTACTAGAATGCAATGTAAATGGCTCCACTAAAGAAATGGTATTGTCCGTTCCGATTTCCAAAATCTGAAAAAAGATGTAATAGAACATACACCCCCCAACCTTCTGGAGTATGGTTCTTAATGGAGCCAAAGCTTCTACCAATAGAACCAAATATAGCACCACTTGTATGACTAATACTTCCCAGTAAGAAGTTAGCATACTCCTGCGTTGAATTTAAGTATAATTTTGCTACAGCCCTGAAAACTAGAACCTTCTGAATTTTTTTAAAAAAAAATAGTTTTCTGAGTCATTAACCTGAGGACACAAATATCCTAAAGTCATTGGTATTGCTTCAGTCATATGCAATTCCTTTAGCTTATATAAAATGCCACAGGCACTCCTGAAATTCTTCGTTCTTTGTTCACCCAAATGAAATTAAATGGCTTCATTTTTTCTTTAAAATCTGAAAGTCCTTTTGCCTCAAGTTTTTATCCAAGCAGGTATTTTAGCTGTTGCAGCAGCTGCTGTTATAATTATCTTGCAATTGCATTGAAAAATTTAGAGATACCCAGCTCAGGTTCTTGTAGTTTTAATGCTGGACCTTTAAGATGTTTTCCAAACCGAGTTATTTTGAAAACTCTTGACAACATAATTTTGAGGGAGTTTTTACAATAGCTAACACATTTGAATAAAAGATTATCTCTGTTGCCATAATTTGTGGCAGAACTTGGAAAGTAACCTTTGAGATATAATTTGTTTCAGTCTTGGTTACTGCGTTTGAAGGAATGATTGTCTTTTTTCTGTTACTTTAAATATAAGTTTCAGAATTAATTAGAAAATGTCACTCATTATAGCAATAAAGTAGCATTTCCCGACTTGTTATAATGTTGTTCTAGTTCAGAAGTAATATATTGTTGTACTTAAGTACTTCTAGTCTGTTACTATGAATGTTAAATTCCTTACTTCTAATTTGTGGGTTTTTTTATTTCAGTCTCTAAAAATCCCAGTGGTTTGCCACCTATGTATTGTATAAAACATGGAAATTGTGTCAACCTTACTCATTGCATCCAGTGAAGCAGCTTCTCTGCTGGGAGTGTTGTTCTTAAAAATGGAGCTACAGTTTATACCAGATATGGGCAAACTTCAGCCCTCCCGGTGTTTTGGACTTCAACTCCCACAATTCCTAACAGCCTACCGGCTGTTAGGAATTGTGGGAGTTGAAGTCCAAAAAACCAGGAAGGCCGAAGTTTGCCCATACCTGGTAAAGACCAATAAAAAAAATAAGGAACTATGTTCATGACTATTGCTGTGATATAATAGATTGATGGGTAGGTGTAGCAAGAAAATGGCTCATCTTGGAAAAGATGTAGCAATTTCTCAGTGTCTTAGTCCCTTAGGCTAAGGGGAAAATAAGATATTGGGGGGCATGTGACATTGCAATTTCCCCATAAATAATAAACTTTCTGGGTTGCCCCATTTTCATGGAAGGATGAAACTAGGTTTGAACTATGCATTTCTTTTAGAGAGAAAGTTTTTTTCATTTAGGCCCTAGGCTTGGTTGGATCTCCTGCCAAAGTGGATAGTTGACACATACACTGACTGACATCAAGATCTTTCAGTTAACTTCAGTTTTCCCCCATTGCAGAAAACATTCTAGGATGGCATGGCCCAAAGTCAAATTCCACAGAGCCACTGAAAAATGGTGCTCTTAGTTCTTTGACAGCCTCCAGTACCAATCTGACATGGTCGATAGTACCAGGTACAGCACAGAATGAACAAATGCAGACAACTGAAGAGGTGAGTGCGCTATGCCTACAATAAACAATTTTATTAGCATTTCTTTGTCATGATGCATCTCACATGGATTTAGTCAATGGCTAATGGGAACATTATTGTAATTACATTGAAATTCTGCTTAGGTTTCCTTTGTCTATGTAATCTAGTTTATATGGCTTATATATGTAAATGCAAGTTTGTAAGCTGCTAAAGAAGATGAGATTACTTCCATCAGTTGTCAGATCACATTTATGCCCTCCAAGGCTCTGAAATATGTGTATTTATTTTGTTTCTAGCTTTTGTATACTATTGCTTTAAAATCTCTCAGTCGTTAAGTTTGACATGTGTATTCTTTAATGTCTTCTTATAAAGCCTGTATTTTAAGCCAGTGGGTGCAATTCAGCATTCAGAGATGGGGTGGTAGCAGATTGACTGTCTGTTGGAGAGAGAGGGTGTCAGTCGTTGCATGAGAAAGGAATAATAATACACTTTATTTATATTCGGCTTTATCTCTACTGAGGGATTGAGAGTGGATTACAATATACATATGAGGCAAACATTCAATGTCTTTGACACAGAGACATGGAACACAGACAAAGGCCTTTCTCTTTTTCCATCTCTGGCATTTGGAAGCAATGCTCAACTCTGGCCATGGAGAGGTGCTCTTCTTCCATTTTTCCATGCCAAGGAGCCTGTTGTCTATAGACATCTTCAATTGCGTTTCTTGCATGTCTGCATATCTGTATTGGATGCCCTTTGACCTTCTAGGCGGTACCTATTGATCTACTCACATTGCATGCTTTTGAATTGCAAGGTTGGGAGAAGCTAAAGCTGACAGTGGGGAGTTCACCCCAACTCACTGCCTTAAACTGCCAATCTTCTGGTCAGCAGCTTTCCTGCAGCTAGCAGTTTAAACCGCTGTGCTACTGTGGCACCATAGGAAGTATTTCCTTCACAATGACCATACACACATCCAAACAAAGACTGCCATCACCAGGATGTCAGACTTTAGTTTAAGAAGATGGGAGCATAGGCAATTAAGTGTCTTATACCATTTGCCCCCTGCCCCCAGTATTCCAGTATCTCCAGTATTCCAGGGACTGGCATGATGATTGTACCATATTATTGTTGCATATATATTATTGTTGCATATGTATAATTTGCATATGTTTTGGTGTCCTAGAAATTTGCTGTGGACCAGTCACCAAAGGCTTGCAGACCACTTCTGCTGTTTTACAATGATCTTCTATAGTGCCTATATTAAAGGCACTTGGAGGATATTAGTTAACTGCAGGAGAACATATGTTGATTTAACAGTTGGAGGCTCTTTGGTGTAATCTTAGTCAGAAGTGTATGCTGTTCTGCTTTGTTGATTCTTTTCAAATGTTTGTTGAGATTTGATAATTTTGTCTACGGAATTGGTATAATGTTTTCCTATATTTATTCATTCGGAATATTTATACCCTGTTCTTCAATCACAAATACTATTATAGCAGCTTACAAATGATTCATTTGCCTTCAAGCTTACAATCTAAATAAGATGCTATAGAGAAGGAAAAAGGGGTGGCAGTAAGGAGGTGGGTTAAGTCCCATAGACACTGCTGCTTGGTTTTTCCTCCGAGGCCAGAGCAGTGGTAGTTGGGATGAAGGGCCTTTTATCTACTGTTAAAAGAAATCTTCTCCCTTCTATTTTCTCCAGCATTTCTCCATGAGCGCCACTTTATTTTCTATTCAACCCAAGGTGTTTCTTCAGTTTTGTCTTCTTGTGATGACAGCAAGCTAAATGATTCGTAATACTCTTTTATTTATAGTCAACCTAATACCTTTTAATCATTTTTCTATTATAATGACTGAAACAGGTGTGATATCAGAGCTCTTTGATGGGGTATCCTGACATAAAAACATTTGGTTTGCTGTAAGCAACTTTTGAGCAGCTGGAAAAGTAGCAAAAAAATTAAATAAGTACACAAACAGCTGGTGGAGGCTCATAATTTGATCAGAGGATTGATATTAGGAGCCCCATGATATTTTTCTAGCTCTGTGTTACTTCCTGAAGCTGCTATGACAACACCACCCCCATCCCTGTATTGACGTTAAACAAAATGTGAAATCTCTACAGCTGTTGGTTTCATTTATTAAAATCCATACTGATGTCTCAGTTGCCCAAAGTGGTTGATGTCAAACATTTTGAAACCTGTGGAAAGATTGCTTCCTTCATACTTTGTTCAGCTCTTAGTATTAACATTTGAGTGAGGCTTGCAACACCTTGCTTTTATGAAGAGCTTTTTCCATAACGCCAGCTGACTCACCATGTCCTCTTAAGGATATGTATTCCATCCCAACCTTCCCCTATCTTTCTCTTTCTTGGCTCACCTCCTCAAGGTTAATACTCTGTTAACAGTATGAATAGTGACATCTGTGGAGCCCCCAGTGGCACAGCAGGTTAAACCACTGAGCTGCTGAACTTGCTGGCCAAAAGGTTGGCAGTTCAAATCCAGGGAGTGGGGTGAGCTCCTGCTGTTAGCCTCAGCTTCTGCCAACTTAGCATTTTGAAAACATACAATTGTGAGTAGATTAATAGGTATCGCTTTGGTGGGAAGGTAAAGGCGTTTCATGCAGTCATGCTGGCCACATAACACCGGCTCTTCCGCTTAGAAATGGAGATGAGCACCTTCCCCAGAGTCAGACACAACTAGACTTAATATGAAGGGGAAACCTTTACCTTTTTATTGACTTCTGACTTATTTTTAATCTCTTTTTTTGGAGTTTCTTTTTAAAGGTTTTTCTTCAATTCTTTGAAAAATGTTGGGTTTCTCTGAGTCCATTGCATGCCTCCCTTTTCCATTTATGGTACTATTTTAACTGATATAATAACTTGAGCATTATACTGTCATCCTGAGAGACCAAACCTCCAATTTGCCTTAGATCAATGGTTCTCAACCTGTGGGTCCCCGGGCGTTTTGGCCTACAATTCCCAGAAATCCCAGACAGTTTACCAGCTGTTAGGATTTCTGGGAGTTGAAGGCCAAAACATCTGGGGACCCACAGGTTGAGAACCACTGCCATAGAAGATATCACAGAGTTTTCTTTGCGAGATTGGTTCAGAGTCCATTTCCCCCTTGAGCAGGTCATAGAGGAAGACAATGGCCTCTGAAGAAATCTTGCAAAGAAAACTTTGTGATATGTTTTTCCTATATGTCAGAGGTATACAGAAGTATACAACAATAACAAACAATTTTGTCTACATCCATAACCGGCTGGTGGTTTCTGGAAACGGTAATCATAACACTTCTCATGTCTACCATCTGGTGGAAAACTGGTCAGTAGGGTGGGTTTAGTGAGGCATATAGTGAACGGTGTTTTTTTAAAACCTAGAAACAAATATTCATTTCATATGTGAGATTTGTAATCCGGACTGGTTTCTTACCCTCAGCAAGGTCTTTAAGGCCAGTATTGTTGACATTCCTGGGAGTTCAAATTGTCGACATGAATGCTAGTTTTTCTTTGCCAAAAATGAATTCATTGAGAAGTCTATGGCATGTAAAGAAAAACACTACCTAGAAATAATGACAAAAATGTAGCTTTGCATCATGGGAAATCAGTGCATCTACATTTCAAAGATGATTTCCTCCCTGAATGTATTGTTTTATGGTTGGAATATTCTTTGCCTTCAGTACTGGATAGAAACTGTCCTTTCTTTTTTATTTCAAAATAAATAATATTGTGGTTATGGGTGGAAGTTCTGTGTTGAAAAGGAAGGGCACAGACAAAACAGATAGGAAGATGGATGCAAATATCAATTCGTAGGTAAAATTAATTAAGTGCATTTGTTCAAATATCTAAGATGTCCACCTTATACATGCACAACTGAGTTATTGACAGTGGTCAGCCCTAGGATCAGTAGATATGTTGAGGAAGAATGAGAGAGATCACCTAATATTTCCCTTTATTGTTTACTTTCTTGTGCAGTGAAAGCAGGAAAGGCTATGTGTAAACAGAAGGAACTCTTTTTCTGCCTTTTGAAAGGCCACCTTGAATTATGAATTGAGGGCGAAGTGTTCCAACAAACTTGAGTTATTCCCTGAGATCTGTTACATAAATGATGAGTGTTGCTTATGAGGTGGCACCTGCAATTAACCGTTATTGCCCAATCTTGACTCAGGCAAAATTAAATCCTTCAGATGTAATAAATAACATTTTTATCCAGGTGCAGTATAAGGTACTAGTGTCTCAATGACTAAAAAAATGTTCTGGCAATACAATGGCTTCATTATAACAATGCTTTCATTTTCACAAGTTTTATTGGTTTCTTCAAAATCAGCAACATTTCTGCTTAATTTTTTTATTGTGTCAGAAACGACTTGAAAATACAGTAGAGTCTCGCTCATCCAACCCTCGGTTAACCGACATTCCGTCTTATCCGACGCTCTTATTTATCCGATGCTCCCCAACTCTCTCTCCATTTCTGTTTAATGTCTTTTTACATCACAAAGTCTACTAATGCCAACCAGAGGAATATATTTACTTGGGGTTTTTGTTTGTTTGCATGTTCCATAGCTTGAATCCTTTCTACCTTTCTTCATGTTTCTACCCTCCAGACCTTAGCCGCCCTCCCTCTTGACCCTTTTGGTCTTCTGTTGTCCACACTGTCTTCATTCTCTTTTGCCATCTTTTAGTGCAACTCTCTGTTATTGGTTCGCCTTTTTCCTGCCCTCACAAATGGCACCAAGAGAATACTCCATGCAGTATTGCCACTCAGCACCATCTAGTGGCTACGTGCTGCCATGATAACCATATTTCAAAACCATTAAACACACACATGTGAATGAATTAATGGATTTTCCTCACATCTGTAAGAATTGGAACATATTTATTATTAAATGATATACAGATTCTAATAAATACCTGATGTTACTCAGGTAATATGTTCAATTTTTCAGTCCAAGAAGTCAAATTGTCTATGACTATTTATTTATTTCCTCCCCAAATGTTGTGTCTTATTAAAGCTAATAGTGGTATTT